GCAGCCTGTTCAAAGAAGTCCATGTTGACTCTCGTCATGCGTAAGCTTGCAACTGCTGAAAAATTGAATGATGTGTCATCTGAAGGTAGGGTATGAGATGGGGCTCCAGAATTTCTTCTACGTATTGCAGAGCTATCATGTTTCCTCTGACGAAAACTATGGATTTTCTATTCTCCGGGATGGTTCTCAACATGTCTGAAGAAAAACTCCCCTGGCCACCGTGGCTCAGCCATCATGCATCCCTATACAAAATCAAAATTCGACCTTAAACTTTCCAGCGTAGTTGTGCATCTAATGTTATACCCAGGTATTTTGCCGCATTTGTACATAGTACTTGGTTATTCTTAATTAATTGTAACTGTTGCCATATTATTTTTAATTTTTTTTATTGCTTATTAATTTTCCTATTTCTTTTGAATACTGATTTCCCTTTACCCTAGGTTTCAGAACAGGAGTGTTTTCCCATGCTGCTTGCTAGACATTGGGCACAGACAGTTCAACTTTTTCATCTAGCTGCTCTGAGTTTTGTAGCAATACTGCCAGGTTGATTTTCTCTTCAAGCATAGTTTGAAACTCTCTCAATCCGTTAGTTTATTAGTTAATTTTTGAATATTATCTTTTTTAATAATCGTATCGCTTAGAGTTAATACTATGGGTCAATGATCCGAGTTCATGTCCCAATCATCATCAATGTCTAGGTAATTAACTGAAATATTTTTAATTATGAAGAAATCTATTAGGTCGAGGATTTTATTTTTATCCAGTAGATATTGATTTGCATGTACGTTCGTTGATAGCCAATAGAAGTTCCTTTCCTTTAGTGGTAGTTAGCTTAGAGCCCCAAAAAATATTCTTTTCATTAAAGTCACCTCATACTAGGTAAAAAGAAATAAGAGTAAGACTTACAATCAATTTATTCTACCAACAACGACCGGTTTCGCATACTATAATTTGCTATGCATCTTCAGGTCTTAAGGTACATGGTAAACTAAATGCTGAAATTATAAAAACCCGTATTAGGCTACTGTCTGGTAAAGAATATACAGCAATTATGCCAATATTATATGTGTGTGATAATTAAATATGATTTTAAAATTGATTAAATACACAAAGTAAAAATTAAGTGAAAAAGCAATCTAGTAAAATTGAAATTAAATAAATAAATAACTAATAAATATTACTTACATGCCGATATAATTTGTAGAAGTTTTTACTTTTTTGTATATACATATATATGATATTCAGCCAACTACTCTTATATTTTCTTTTAATTTTCAATTAAAATATGTTTTACTGACTTTTACACCCAGCCTGAGAGACTTGTTCATCCCTTGAAGTGACGTTCGGTTGTAACAATTATTCATTGAAGCGAGGTGTATTAATTTCTCTCATTTTATCTTCTACATACTGGTTGAAGAAAAATTGTCGATGCTGCTGCATCCCTTTAACTTTGCCGAAATAATTTTCAAGTTTTAATTTACAAAGCATAATAAACATAAGCGGTAATATAATATGCCAACTCTAGTATCGCTTTTAAGCAAAAAAATCTATAACTATTGCGGCCTTTGCCACGAATTTTGCTATTAAATAGGACCCTTAAGCTACCGGGGACAAATGAGTGGAATCCAATTTAATCTACGTAATATTTGTTCACTCATTTTTCACTAATTTATTACCATCTTAATAATTTTTCACCACCAAACCAACTTTAAGGGGAATTCGGAAAAAAAACTTTTTGCTTATGGCATATTTATTCACCCATTTGTCACTAATTTATTACCAAACTAAGAATTTTTCACCACCAAACCACCCTTACGGGGAGCGATTTTGCTGGTTTATGGTTAAAACTAGTAGAATTCCAAAAAAAAAATATTTATGACATACCACAGTGCTTTGCTAGATTTTTAAGAATTTATTACCACACTAGTAATTATTCACCTCTGAACTACTCCTTATGAAAAGTCAACAATTCTGTTGGGTTAATATTTAAGGTGATAAAGAAACTATTTTTACAATTTTACTCTTCTTGTAACTGAAAGTATAAATTGCTTGCCAGGTTTTTAGTGAGTTTTATCTAACCCCATAATTTTTGACCCTTAAGCCACAGTTAATGGAAAAGATTCAACAAGCCACGGATTCACGCTAGCTAAATTCGAAATCTTTTTGGAAATACAAAAGTGCTTTGCTAGATTTGGCTATATTTTTACCAGTCTAGTCAGTGTTTTCGTAACTACCCTAATTAAATACGTGTAAAAACGTGAAAAAACAAAGAATTTGTTTTTTTTTTTAATTTAATCCCTTAAATTTTAATCAAACAGAATTATTGACTTTCCATAAGGGCTACTTAATGGGTGAAAAATTACTAAGGAGATAATTTTTTTTTAATTCTACTAGTTTTAACCATAAACCAGCAAAATCGTTCCCCTTAAGGGTGGTTTGGTGGTAAAAAATTATAAGGGTGGTAATAAATTAGTGAAAAATGGGTAAAAAACATGCCATCATATTTTGCACTACACTTTTATTTCTTACACTTTGTAATTTTTAAATAACTTATAATTCTATGAACTTATGATAAAGTAGTTTTATTTTGAGAAATATGTGAATAATTTCATTTTTTGATTGATTTATTGAAAGCGGCTCTTTATTTTGGCTGCCTGCGTGCGATGCACGAACTGCACCCCTGCTAGGATCGGCTCTGGTCCTCAACTACAGTTAATTTTACATTTTTTTCCTGAACAACCGTTTATATTGTCGACCTTCTCTATATAGGTATTCTATCTATATATATTAATTATATTGTATTTTATCAAGCCAAGAAATGACTAAAAATTTTGTAATAGTATTCAAAACAGAAAAAGCTAATCAAAATAAATATACCTAATTACTAGAATTTCACAGTTCAATAAATTCATGTCACCTTGTACAGTCCTGCAACGCTGGCGCTGCAGGAAGTTTAACCATTATTATGAACGTACTCGTACCTATATCTTCGATTCGGTTCAACGGTTTAAGCACGATTCAAGTTCATCGAGCAGACATTAACATTACTGACCTATATTTCAGACAACCAAGAACTGAAGAGAATACCGACAACTAACTGATGTATATACGAGGTTTGTCCAAAATATTATTAGGTTTTTTGTAATAGTGCAAGAGGAAGTTTATTTTTAAGGTAAAATCAGATATGAGAAATTTACATATACCTTAAATAACTAGCATATGGCACAAGACTACTGTATGAAGGAATGTGAAAAATGTCACCAAACATTTCTGTGACGATTTGATTAAACGTAGTTATTCCCAAAGAATATTTTTAATCAAAATTAGGTTACGAGAGATACAAATAGGAACAATAACAAGAAACCTGAAAATTTCTAATTCAAAGCGAAGATGGCAGAATAGGAAAATAAAAGGAAAATTTGACACTGAATTGTAGACTGTAGATGAAACAATTGTTTTGCCTCGTAGAACTTTTCATATTGCGACACGATCACAATAAATTGCAGACCGTTTTGCCTCCTCGTAGAGCTTTTCACACTGCGACGTGCTGACTGAGTTTCCAAATGACTGACGCTTCTGTGTATATTTTTGGTCATTTTAACATTTTAAGGATAATAAGATCGTACTTCTGATTTGTTTTAGAATTAAATTGGTTGTAGATTATATTATTAACTTCGTTTATTAAAATTTTTTGTAGATTCTTAAACTCATAGGAACTTTGTAAGGAAGATTACATTAAAATATATAAGGAAATAAATAACGAGACCAGAAAAACAGAAGACGATTAGTTACGGAAGTATTATGCATAATTACAAGTGCTACAACAAATCACTCGTTTCATGTTTAAAAAAAATTGTAATATAAAAGGTATAGAACAGTGCTCGGGAACTTTTTTAAATTACCCCAAAACATTTTTGTGTAAGTTGATATTACCCAAGGCAAAAAACAAAAAAGCAAAAAAAGGCCTCTTTTTAGCATCATTCATATTATAGCCCCCATGATAGTTTTGAACAGAAAACAATAACTAAAACATAAAATAAACATCATTTATTCAATTTCTATGATACCTAGAAATACATAACATAATAATAGATAACAATAATAAGATATAAAAAATTAAAACCCATTGCGGTACTGTAACAAATTATAATAATAATAATGGTTGTACTAACAAAAATTAGAATTGAAAAAATTATAAAAAAAGAATAATTGAAAACATTCTTCCTTCACGTTTTGGAGAAATGATGTTGTTTCATGTTCGATACAATTGCTTCAAAATTGGGACTTTTTGATGTAAGAGCGATTTGAATACAGTCTTCGGCGTTTAATAGATTTCTGTTCTTCGTTTTCATGTTCACTAGAGTGGAAAAGCCTTGTTCGCACAAATATGTTGTTCCAAATGGCAGCAATTTTTTAACCGCCTCTTCATGTGCAATTTTGAAAGCCTTTGCAGCTTTTGATATCCAAAAAGACGACAGATTTGGTTTACTCTCAAATTGAATACGTGCTTCAGTATTAGATCGAAGTTCAAGAATTGTTTCTGTCAAACCTGAAGGTTCTTCTGGTATCATATCAATTTCACATTTAAAAGGATCTACAATCCAACTGACAGTACGTATATCAAGATCTGGAAAGTAATCTGAAAACCGCTTTCTGAGTTTGATGAGATGTCTTACATTTGTATGTAATGTTTGCTTGATGTAATCCTTAATGTCAGCAAAAGTAATATTTTCGCAATCTTCCAAAAACAAAGCTAACCTTAATAAAAAGAAGCTATCTTGTTCTGTTCTACTTTATGACTCCAATATTGCAGCTTTAATCCAAACGCTGACACTATTGCTCTCGCTGAAATGATATTAATATTCTTTTCTTGCAATTCTTTGTTTAGTATATTTATACTTTAAAAAATGTCAGCTAAATATGCGAGATATGCAACCCAGGAAGAGTTTTTAAACTTATCTGCGAGAATATTTTTTTGATCAACCATAAAAATTTCCACTTCAGTTTTGAGAGTCCATACTCGATTTAGTACATATCCGCGAGAGAGTCACCTTACTTCTGTATAATAAAGTAGGTCCGTATATTCGGCTTCACCTTCTTCTTCTTTAAGTTCCATCTTCTATCGAAGGTTGGAAATCATCATGGCTATGCGGACTCTGTTGACTGCCGCTCTAAAAAGTCTTAAAAGTCTAAAAAGCCGCTCTAAAAAAAGTCTTCACCGTCCTGACATAATTCACGAAATAGCCGCGTGTTTAGTGCATGTCCCTTGATAAAATTTACAATCTTGATGACATCATGCATGACGGCTTCCAGTGTAGGTTCTAAATATATGACCATAAGGGCCTGGCGATGGATCATACAGTGAATAACTTCAATATTTGGGTTATTTTTTTTACGAAAGCCGAAAAACCATTAATATGGCCCAGCATAGCTGGAGCTCCATCCAAAGATACTGAAATACAGTTTTCCCATTTTAAACTTTGCGCATTGAAGTATTCATTTACTTTATTGTAGACATCAATTCCACGAGATCTTAACTCGAGAGGAGAACAAAACAGCAATTCCTGTTCAAAATTATCTGCACCTTTGTAGCGAACATATACCATTAGCTGTGAATTGTTACTAAAATCAGTTGTCTCATCAAGCTAAATAGCAAAATATTTAGCCTGTTTTAATGAGAAAATAACATTTTCTGCTAATATAGAAATTCGTTCTTTCACAATTCTCGCAGACAAGGGCACTGAATTCAGTTTGTTCGCTTCTTTTTGACCACACATAATCTCTGTCATTTTTACAGCAGGTGGTTTAACCAAATCTTCACCGATAGTGTATGGTTTTGGGGTTTAAAATTCCTCCCAGGGCATATAAAAAATTTACAAAGGATAGTAGGAAAATGTACCTAATTTATCTTTCACAAATAATACAAAAAATTTCGGTGCATGCAAAACAGGTTTATAAAAAATCAAATTAAAATATATACTTTTTACTAACAAGTTTCATTTTTACCCCCAAAAATTTCATTTTTACCCCATTTGGGGTAATTTACCCGGGTTCCCCGACCGCTGGTATAGAATATAATAGAATAAAATAGAAATATGCTTTATTGTCACTGAAAACTGTACAATTTTATGGACAAAGCTTAGAAAAAGTCAAAAAAATAACAATTAAAATTTATTAAAATTATCATAAATATTTAAACATAAATCGTTAATATCTCAAAATAAAAGATAATAAAATATACAATCCATTGCAAAATTTCACTAAATTGCAAATTGCATAATAAAATCTTACGAATTAGTTTACGAATAAGTTTGTTGCTGCATGTGGTACCCAAATATATATAATATATATATATATATATATATATATATTATATATATATATATATATATAAATAATTTAGTTTGGTTGTACCTAAACGTACTGTAATTTTTTAGTTATTCGTTACGAAACTCTTCCACTTAATAATATGGTCATTCAGATAGATACGCTTTTGTTAATTTATAGAATTTAAGGAAAAAAGTTAGGTATAGATTTAAGTCGCAAAGGGAGATTGTTGTATAATTTTTTTGCCGAATATAATATAAATGTCTTTACTAACTCAGTGAACGGGGTCGGTAAATACACATCAAAGGTTGAATTTCTGGTGGAATAGTGATAAGTAAATCTTGCTTGAAAAACATGTAGGTGTTTACGAATCAAGCAAAGTTTCTAGAACATATAAAGAGGGAAGAGTTAAAATTCCGTGATTTTTGAAGTAGCCTCTGCAATGTGTTATTCTACTGAGATCAAAAAGATTCCGTATTGCTGTTTTTTTTTTGTAATTTAAAAACAACATCAGATTGGTCAGCTGCACTATAACCTCAAAACTTCAAAATAGATCTTATTGCATAACAGGCCAAGTTTCTTACTTAACAAATCGATATGAAGGACCTATTTAAGATTGCTGTTTATAAAAATAGCAAGAAATTATACAGAATCAACGATACTGATCTGGCTGTTATTAAGAAGCAAGATTAAAGAGCTCCTTTATAAGATAATGCTACTCTATTACCCACGTTAAAAGAGAATAAATTAGAATCAGACCAGGTTTTTATTTTAAGTAGATCAGAAGTTATAATTGCATGAAGAGTTGGAATATTAGAGTTCTTCCAGGTAATACTGGTATTATCAGCAAAAAGAAAATAATTTTCCACCGATTTTTAAGTTAATGATGTCATTTGTAAAGATAAGGAAAAGTAGAGGACAAAATACTGAACCTTGTGGTACTCCACATAAAATGCTTTTGTGACTAGAGTCAGTATCATTTGTTTTAACTAGTTGTTTCCTATTCCTTAAGTAAGATTGGAACCAATTCAAAGAAATGCCTCAAATTTCGTAGAAATTTAGTTTTTTTTATCAAAATGTGATTTACACAATCAAAAGCTTTGGCATAGTTACAAAAAACTGGGGCGGTGTAAAGATTATTGTTTGGTGCTTAATAGACCTCATGTAGTATAGAAAACATAGTATCGCTGGTACATTTATTTGATAAAAAGCCGAACTGACTTTGTGATAAAATGGTGTTTTAAACGAGAAAGGACAGAAGTCGGGTTTTTAAAGGTCTCTCAATAATTTTGGATAGGACCGGTAGTAAGGCAATAGGTCTATAGTTGCAGACATTAGATTTTCACCACCCTTATGAAGAGGAATAATAATGGCTGTCTTTAGGCACTCTGGAAATATATTCCTTTTTCAAAGGAATCGTTAATTAGTGAGTCCAGGACTTTCAACACATTTTTTGGCAGATTTAAGAAAATTTTTATGGATAGTACATACTACATACTGCATCAGTTTAGATTTATCAACTGATCTTATAAAGAATAAATTGGAGACCGTTTTTTTTAAATTGAGAGGATAGGAAATAGGATCTTGTGGCAAAAACGTTGATGTTATATTTTTACTCACATTAACGAAGTATTCGTTTAGATTTTCAGAGTTTGGAAGAGAAAATGAGCTGTGTTAGATTTATTTCGAAGATCGCTTATTATGGTCCAAGTTACTCTGGCTACATTTCTAGAGCTTCCCAGAGGATTCTCATAGTACATTTTTTTAGCTGTTTTAAGTTTTAGATAGGTTCCTCTGTACTTATAGGTATATTCAGTGACAAAGACATTATTAGTAAATGTCTGGATGAACAGTAGTGAACGTATATTCTTGGCTGATATGCGGATACCTCTGGTAGTCCAGGGTTTGTGATATTTTAACTTAATTGTAATTAAAGGAAATGCTTTATTGAAAATACAACCAAACATATCTAAAAACTAACTGAAACTATAGTCCACGTCCGTAGAGGGAAAATGCCACCCAGAAGTCAAGCACAAATTTTGGAATTTACGAAAGTTCTGAGCAGAAAAAATCCTACCTAAACGTTGTGTTTTCGAGGATAGTTTGTTAAACTTGGTATATACTGCTTTATGATCAGATAGTCCAGCATTAATAATTGTAGAGCCTACATCAAGGGGTGAGAAATCGGAGACAAGACAATATAATCAATTATGGTACTTGATTGAGATGTTGTTCTAGTAATTCTTGTAGGAGAATTAACATGAATTGTGAAAACATACGATTTGAATATATTGAAAAGGATTATTGGTTAGCACAAGCAACAGGATGATTAATATTTAACTCATCGCATAGAATCTTTAGCATAAGCATTAGCTAACAATTTAGCTAACGATAGCTAACCTTTTTGCCACAAATACTTATTAAAAGTTAAAGATCTCATATCAATCATGTCTTTTTATTTCTTATTTAAAAAAATACAATATTTTCTTTTAGAGACGTTTGTTTTCCTTGGCACATGCCATCAGGAGGGTTGGCAAACAAATTTTATCCTCTTAATACAAAAATTACACTAAGGCTAATTGGCCATAAAAAAGGAACCGAAAAAAGCAACGAACTTTTTACAAGATCCCTTTCCCTAATTGTGTTACGCCTAATATTTAAACGACCCCAATGTAACTAAATCAAACAAACACTATAATATCCTTCTTCTTCTTCAGGTTCGTTCTCCTATCGGAGGTTGGAAATCATCATCGCTATTTTAATTTTATTGGCCGAGCTTCAGAATAATTCTAATGAGCTGCAACCGAACCACTCTCTCAATTTTTTTAGCCAGGATATTTTGCGTCGTCCTGGCTTTCTCTTTCCTTGTATCTTTCCTTGCATAATTAACCTAAGTAATACGTACTTCTCGCCCCTTATTATATGACCCAGATATTGAATCTTTCTAATTTTAACAATTTTTATGACTTCACATTCTTTCTTCATTCTTTGTAACACCTCTATATTAGTTACTTTTTCAGTCCACGATATTCTGTGGATTCTCCTGTAGCACCACATCTCAAAGGAGTTTAATTTTTTATTTCCGACTGTTTTATTGTCCACGCTTCCATGCCGTGTAGTAAAGTAACAACGTAGCATTCTTGTGCGGATTTCGTGATCTCTAGATTACGGTTGCAAAGTAAGTTCTTCAATTTTATGAACGTGTTTCTTGCCATTTCTATTCTAGATCTGATTTCTGTTGTTTGATCTCCATCTTCGGTTAGCCACGTTCCTAAATATTTATATGTTGTTACTCTTTCGATCGTTGTATTATTGATTATCAGATTATCTACATTTTGTGTTTTTTTTTGAGAATATCATTGTTTTCGTTTTCTTGAGACTCATTTTGCAGTCCGTACCTTTCAAATGCATTGTACACATGATATATTATGTACTGTAGATCTTCCATGTTACTTGCAAATATGACCGTATCGACCTCATATCTAATATTATTAATGCTATTTCCGTTGACCAAAATACCTTCCACAAAATCCAATAAAGCTTCTTGAAATATCACTTCACTGTAGACGTTGAATAAGAGTGGTGAAAGTATGAATCCTTGTCGTACTCCTCTAAGTATACTTACTTCCTCTGTCAGTTCTCCTTCGACCCTTATTCTTGCTTTCTGATTTTGATACAGATTCGATATAATTTGTAAATCCTTTTATAATACATGTAGAAGCTTTCATGTTGAACTTTGTCAAAAGCTTTTTTGAAATCTATGAAGAAAGCATATATGTCCTGATTCATAACCAGACATCGTTGTGTCAGAATAATATTCTTACCATATATTAATCGATTCTCTGAACAAAAGTCGAAAGTATTTGCCAAATATGATAATAATATTCATACAAACCATACCAAAGACATAAATCATGAAAAAAATCCGGAAATTGTTTTCAAAATTTAAACCCAATGTTAATAAAGATCATCAGTCCGATGTTATTTATAAAATAAAAATTCAATAAATATTATGTATGTATATATATATATATATACATATATATATATATATATATATATATATATATATACATATATATATATATATAATATATATATA